CATATGAAGAGTGAAAGGGCACGACGTTCTCCATGGAACCAACTGTTGATCGTTTCGGGAATTTTGAAATGAAGGACATTCTTCTCTTCGGTAATTTTGAAATATTCGATGCTAGAAGTTTGAACCAATTCCTCATAGAAAGATCTTTGAAAGAGTTTTCGGTATGGTTGGATGCTATTGTCAATCTGCTCGGGTGACAAGTTACGAAATTGTATCAAGGGAATAAAATTTTCGAGACTTCTGGACAATGCTTTAATTTCTTCGGGGGTCCAATATTTAGGATTTGAATTTATCGAAGGGTGTTTGGCCAAAACCCATTTGAGGACCATATTCCAAATTTCTATCACGTCTACTTCGAGATAATTATTTCCTAGTAACTCTACCAAGACCTGCTTTTCTATCTTGACAAAATCCTCGGACATGAACAATGCTTTCGGTGACTTCACACAGTAATTCAGAAGGACCACCAATTCTTGATGCTGTTTGCATGTGTCATTAACCAACGAGAAGTTTCTGCATAACCACTCATGATGATATTTGACGAGATGTAATTGCAAATGACTAATGGCCTCTTCAAGATCAAGTTTTAAGGCAGCGAGTAAAAGATTGAATATCTCCAAAGAAGATTTTCCATCCAAAGGTATGCGTCCAGTATAAATATACCTAATTCACGAATGCACTAGTTAGATTCGACGAACAAAACATCCCGGTCGAGACGCGGTCCATACTCACCTGAGCATGACTTCAAATTCCTTTGGAGAGATGTCGGGAATGCTAACTGTGTGATTGTCAATTTTGTTCCCGTCGCTTGTTAAAACTTTTTGAAAGAAAGAAGAGCGAGCATAAAGAATAAAAGAGTGTCCGTAAAATGTCTTGGTTTGTGATTGTGAACCGATCCTGATCGTCACATCACCGAACTTTTTTAGTTCATAGAAGGTGTCAAAATCTTGGCAGATTTTAATGACGGATGTGATCTCTCTAAAAAAAAAAAAAGAAAAGTCGACATAACGAACGACAGATGTTAGATCCTTGAAAGTGTATAAAACGGAATGAAATCTTGGGACCCACAAACGAACCTATTTTTTAATTCAACGCTCAATTCGCAGAATGAGGTTTGATTTTGACTCGACATTTTTGCTCTAAGAATGAAAATTGTTATTTTTTCATG